ACACATTATTCACTATAAGCTATAGCCTCTCTTTAATACTGTCTGTGGTAAATATTCCTTTCAAGCCTTTCCTCTGCTCTCCCTGCCTATTTTCAGTTATCACAGCATGACCATGAGTTGGATTCCTCGTCAGCTTATAAATCCCAGGTCTCACTTGGTCACTGTCTAGCTGGGTTTTAAAAGTATTAGAAATAGTAACATTTTGTTTAAATGGTCTATGTTTTCAAACTATCGATACTCTTCTATAAGCCTGTGCTCTTTCATGTTTCCTGTTGCCTTGTTCTTTGTGCCATCTGTAAAAGCTTTTGGTAATGATCACTCTTCAAAGTAGTGATGGAAATTATGTCACGTTTGAACTAACACTGCAGAACTGATCAAAATTACCTCCATTCAGTGAGGTGCACCTAAATGCTCTTTGAAATCCGTAGATGAATTGCTATCAATCCATTTGATGCCTCTCTGCTGGTAGTAGTAAGCTGTCAGATTTTTGATTAGCAAAGGAAAGGTTAAAAGTCCTAAACTTCACAAAGTATAGTACAGTTCACCCTCTGCCTTTAGCAGCCAAAGCCTTGATTTGATTTCATAAAAGAATGAAATCATGCAAACTGCCAGCAATAGGGAATAGCTGATTCAGTTAGGTCGACTCTTCTGGAGCCTAAATTTTCATTTCAGAGCAATATTCTTTCCACATATAATTTAATAAAATTAGGACAATAATTTAAAGCAATTTAACAAGTGATCTTTTGATGGCATCAAAATCTATTATTAATTTAAACCAATGTATTGAATACATTTCATTGTTGTGTACTTTTAAAAAAAATATTTTCATTCCTGTTTGGAATGAAGGATAAAGAAATTTTAAAAACAGTCTGGAAAGGAGTCAATTTTATATGACATTCCTTAACACACTCTTCCTGTTAGGTAAAATGCTGTTCAGTTCAATGAATATAAGAACAAAAATGTATTAGTGGTAAAATGCTTTCTTCAACATTAGACTAAGCAGAGAATTAGAAGGTTTCTTTTTTCCCTTAGGAATTAATCAACACATCTGTAGCACAACCTCTTCTTAAAAATTCTTGAATGTAGAAAATTATTCAGTTCACTGGAAGCTTGAAAGATAATTTTAAAAGAATACAGGATTGGCTCTTTGGGATCCTGTTGATATCAGTTGGTCTCAGTAAATTACTTCAGGAACAATGAGGCTAAGATAAATACATAGGAAAAGGGCATCTGGAGAGGGTAAGAGAGAGCATCTCCCCAAGTTCTGTCAGAATATGTTTATGGTTTTGGTAAGTGCAGATCCTAGTTAAAGCTGTAACTTTAGTCAGGAGATTTTCTTCCCTGCAGCTGTCACAAGAAACTACGATTTTGCTTACAGCCAGTCCTAAATTTTAAAGAAAAAAAGTAATGAGGTAAGAAGAATTGAGTAAAAAGCCATTTTGCTTCCAAGGACAAATAGTTTTTTTTTTTTTATCCCCTTCAGCCAACTTACTTCCAAAAATATATTCTAAGACCTCAGAGGAAAAGCTAATCTCAAAATAAAAGGCTTGGGGTAGAGGTAAATTCTGCTAATGCCAAGAACCACACAGCTGTAGGACTTTCCTCAGATGAGGTCAGACAGCTTTACCAGGTATCTGCAAGCCCATTTCCTGCTTCCCCTCCTCCTCCATATGGGAGGACTGTGGTTCCCACACAGTGCCTACATTTCCCACCAGTACAAGAAGCAATGTGACGCCTTCTTGTTCTCTTACTCTCTCTCCCCAGGACAGGCAGCAGCCCCAGGACAGCATTACACCCCTCATGCCATGGCTTGGCATGGAGTGTCCATGCACCCAGATGACAGCAGAGCCCCTGGGATGGTGCATGTGCTGCACAGCTGATCCAGACACAGGGAGAGATCCTGCAACCCACCCACACTGGGAGAGCCAAGAGCTACGGGCAGGAACAGAGTGCCAGTCCCCTGTCTGCTCAACACAGAGCTTTCTCTGCACATCAAAATGATCAGTCTATGTGTGTCTGAGGAGCCCAGGGTGCTTACAATAGACCTGGTCTTGCTCTGTTATAAGCTTTAGTGATAAGACTTTGGCTTTTTAATCTAACTTTTGCGGTGTGTTTAAAGACAGTGAATGCCAGCATTTCCATTTTACATGTGAGGAAACCATGAAGTGGATTCATCAGGACAGGAAAAAGTGTTGAAGCTTGATAGTAAAACCAAGAGAAGAATCCAGGTCTCCTGAGAAATGTTTTAAGAGGCCACGCTATCAACGCTGTACTAAAGGACCATTCCCAGTCAGATTCAGCATAAATCTCTTCTCACAGGAGCTATATCGAGCTCAGCTACTTTTCTGTCAGGAGTTTGTACATGTGATTGAAGTGGCATTCTCCTGTTATTTTTTCCTCTGAGGAAACTCTGAGTTTTCCCTCTCAGTGGAAGAACACTCCACCTGTAAGAGATTTCATTCACCCAGCACCCCATGCACAAGCTGCTGAGATGCTGACTCACTGGTGTCCATGAGCTTTAGCAGCCCTTATGCAGAAGTAGCAAAACCACTCCTGTAATGGTATTAAAACAAGAAATTGGCCAAGGTCTGCCTATACCACAGGCTATGGCTGAATTTGACCCTGTTTCTGAGGCATCTCAAGATTCTGGAATCTCCTAAATCTACCATAGCATTGACACTTCAACACTTTGACTGAAAATCTCAGAACAGAGGGAGGAACTTTTTTTTTTTTTGTCACCCAAAAAGTGACCCAGTGTCAGGTCTGGAGTGTCAGGCAGTTGGGCTAGATGATTATTATAATAATTCCAACTGAACTATTCTAACAATGTTATACATTTAAATGAGCAAAGGGAGAGGAGTGGTGCCTGCCTTGTGTGCCTGTCTAGAGGGGGTTAGGAGGAGAGCAGATCAGATCTGGAATTCAGAGTTGAGAAATGGCAGCAAAGGGCCTCAGAGAAAGCCTGTACTCAGCTGGAAGGTAAAAAGGAGCCTCAGTATATCCCCATCCCACTTTAGATTTGTGGCAGATGGAGGGGGGCTATTGTGGGATGGCTGGGGGACAGGATCTGCCTCTCCCTACCACAGACCTTGTCTTTCCTCACAAAAGACATCACTGCAGGGTACATTGTTCATGGGTCATTAAAATCCACCCTGAGATACTTCACATATTCTCATGCAGAGAGTATATGTGAGGAAAAAATGGAGGGACATGAGAGGTTCGGACAAAAATGAAGAAAATAAACCTCTCGCACAAATGTTTGAAATATTTCAAGAACTGTTGGCTTGTACTTGCCTGCACTTCAGCTAATGATTTGCATTTGCCGCACAGAAAACCTAGGAGAGAAATCTAACAAAGAAAAAAAAAAACCACCTCCCCCCACCAAAAAAAAAAACCAGGTGTTTTTGTCATATTTTTGTTTGTTTGTTTTTTTACCCTGTAATTGAGAGATGAAAGAGAAAATTCAAGGAAAGGCTAATGTAGGAACTAGAAGGAAAGTGAGCAATAGCTATCTAGAGCATTACAAAAATAGTCTTAGGAGGGTAGCAGAAGAAGAGAAAAAAGCAAATATATGTGTACCAGTATGATCTATACATGCTAACTTCTAGGGCTAAGTTTGGGGTTATTTCCCGTGCCCAGGCCAGTTAATCAGCTGTCTTTGTTACTGATTGATGGCTTAGAAAATTTCTGCCTTTGCGGCTGTGTAGCTGTCAAGCATGGAGTCTCTTTTCTTGAAGGAGAAATGCAAAAATAAATTAAATCTCTACCCTGAATGAAGGTCAAAAGGGCATGCAGAGGAAAAAAATCACATCACAAAACTGGAGCAGACCACTTTTTCTGAGCTGACCACAGGCATCTCTTTTTATTGCACTGACTAGTAAATTTATTTTCATTATTCAAGGGTATTCACCTGATTATAACCCATCATTTTAAAGTACCTTATCAACAAGTTCAGTGGTTCTCATAACTTCCCCTTTTATCAAGTCTGACAATTACTTTATTATTCTGCAATTTCTTGACCCTTATCATACATCCCTTACAAAAGAGAATCCCTTCCAATACCTCCATTTTTTTCCATGTACAAGCTGATTTCATTGGAGCAATGAATACTCCACAGTTCTGGGAATTTTTTTTCCCAGAAACTTTATCAGAATTCATACAGGCTGTGGAGAAAGAGTCCAAGAAGTTTCATGATCTCAGTGCCCTGCATTGCTCATTAGCACCCTGCTAAACAGCACTGTTCAAGCATGCCTACAGATTGCAAATGAAAAGGACAGAAAGAGAGAGGAAGCCCAGTGCAAACTAAAATATTCACCAATACACAAGTGTAAGTGCAATCATAAGTCACAGTGCATTTTACCCAGTGGTTTAGTTTGAAATCTTCACTAACACACATACAAAGGTTTTGCCTCTTTCCTGAAAACCATGGAAAAGGTATTTCAGCACTTTCTCTACTTTCTTCAATTCAACACCAACAACTGGAGTTAAACACTGCTAAACAGAGAAAAATCATCCCTTTCTTTACATTAAGCCTTTCCTCCTATTTTTATAATTTCCTGGCTTTCCCTCCTCGTTAAAGAAATCATTAGGTGCCAAGGTAATGATGGATCATTGTCCACATGACTGGACACATAAGCTGTCCTTCGGGGTCTCCTCACAGTGGAAATAAAAGCTGCCTTGTACAAGTTTCCTTCTTGCACTCAAGCTTTTTTCCCTCGGATGCAGCAGCATCTCATCCCTAGAGGGCAGCCAATGAACACAGCTCCAGGCACAACGTGCTTTCCCTCAGGCTGCAGGATTTATCACATTTCACCAGCTCGTCCTTTCTCTCTCTAACACACAAGTGCAGGCAAACCACTGAGACTGACAAGTTTTGGGTCATTTCAGTTGCTTTTTTCCAGCTCCTCACCGTAGGGCTTCCATAATCCACCCTCTCCCCCTCCCTGCCAAACTTAGGGACGGTCTTTTGCACCTCTTCCAACCGGTACCCAAAACCTTACCTTATGATGACAAACATGACCAGGGCGTTTCCCACCAAGCCCACAACGAAGACCACCGAGTAGACGGCGGTGATGATGATGGGAATGGCGGGGGAGATGCTGGTGTGGTTGTGCTGGCCGTCCCCAAAGGCCCCAGTGGCGTTGGTGTCATAGTCTGCCCAGCCCGGGAGCCAGCTGCTGCTGGTGCTGGGGGGCCGGCAGGGCCCTGGGGAGCAGGTGGAGTCTGGCTCCTCACGGAAAATCTGTATGGGGGCATCCATAGGGGCACCGTCCGACACCAGGAGGAGGGCACACAGCAGGAGGCAAGTATGCTAGAAAGAAGGAAGAGAAAGAAAGAAAGTATTTTTACAGCCACAGAACATTAAGACCTCTGAAACTTGTATGTGTTAAGGGGAGCACTGCTGTGATGGAAACTGTAATTTGCCAAGCAGATATTTAAGCAAATCACATTCATATTAAATTATTTCAAGTTTTGCATCTTGGTACATAATGCTGCTTCTCCAAGTGCACAAGGAAAGTTTTCCTCCACTTTCAAAGGTTGCATAGTGAAGCAAGCCAGATGGGAACAGCTCAGATCCACCCCCACACTTTAACCCTGTCTTTCCCATCTTTCATATTTTAAGTCAAACTCTATCCTAACGAGGGCTCCTCACTGCCTAAGCTCTGCTTTAAAGGAGAAGGAGACAGAGAAACCCACCACCTCTCTGCACATCTTCTTTAACATCCTGCCCTGAGTTATTTTTTCCTGATCCCATACCTGCTTTCATAGAAAAGACACATTAATGACAAAAAATACCTTTCAGTCCAGGAAAAGAAGCGGAGTCCTCAAACAGGTGCTCTTGGCAGGAAAAGAAAAGAATAAAGCCACCTTGCTTGGCTCCTGGAAGTGCCACTGACCACCCAGGAGTTTTGGATGTGAGGCACCTGCGCCCTCAGAGAGGCGTGCTGGCAGCAGAGCCGGCTCCCAGGCAGGAGCTGCAGCGTGCAGCAGCAGCAGATGCTGCTGTTCCAGCTCCCACCACTTCGCCTTTTCTCTCTCAGGCTCCCTCTGCCTCCCTCTCACTCTGCCAGGGCTCCAGCAGCACTCTGCACTGATGCACACGTTCTCCACTCTCTCTGTCCCCGCAGCTCAGAAGCTCACATGACTTCTTTCTAAACACTGAGATGCAGATAAATTAAAAGAAAAGCAAGAAATAAATTCTGTTGTGAATGAATGCTTATTTTAAGACACTTTTCCAAGTTTTCTTTCCTCAATTCCTCTGCACTCCCAGGCCTCAAGAAGTAATCCTCTTTGCCTTATTGAATCCCACAGGATTTCAGACTAGTAGACACTGAATAAAAGGGGAATTCTAAGTTTAGATGCCTTGCCTGGTCCATCAGCTTCTTCATGCCTTGACTCCACAACTGTGTGTACAAAACATTTCTCACTGGGTAGCTGTGCCCATGTTAACTTGCACCTGCAACTCCAAAGTCAGAAGAAGGCTACCAAAGAAAAGAGGGGCACCCTAATTACTGTACAGATTTTTTCAAGCTGTACCACACCATGTGAGAAGCCCAGAATTCCCTGTAGCACTTTATTCTCACAGCTGCAGCCAGAAACAGGGAGGTGGTGTGCACAGAAATCCCTCAGAGCTTATCCCTAATATACTCCCTCAAGCAGGAGCTGGCAAGGCACCAATATATGTGTTCAAATACCTTTTAACTTGCATACAGACCTTGAAATCCCCACCAGAACTCTCTCTAAATGGCAAATTGGAAGAGAGGAGGCAGAGCCTGAGTTATTCCTACTCCTTTGGAAGAGGCTAGAAACAGCCAGACTGGCTGCATCTCAAAGAGTCTTTGGAGAAAGAGAGAGGCTGTGGGTTTCTTTCAAGATTTTCCAATCTTGAAACTTTACTTCATGCCCCTCTTGCTGAGTGTCTGTGATATGACTGAGTTTTCTATTATAAACCAATTTTTTTTTCCGAAACCTATAATCGAGAGACTAAATTATGTCAACGGAGTGAGAAATCATGTAGGAGGCTTCAAAGGTACAGAACCCCCTCTCTCAGAGGAAAACGCTTGTTCAAATATGATAATGGCTTTGACTGTGGTCACTGTTTACTCCAGAACTTCAGTAACTGCTCATGATCCTGTGTATAGAGCTGTCTAAAGTTTCACTTTTAATGATGATGGATAAAAATTCAAAATAAAAAATGCGTGACAGAAATGTGCCTGAGACAGGGACACAAACCTAAGAAGAAGTCATTTTTTTGAAGATGAAGTAGATCCTAACATAAATTGTACTCCAATTCTGGTTTTATCCTCTGCAATCCATGGTCTCCTGCTCATGTACTGAAGGGAACTACTGTTGCTGTATCTTCTCATAAATAATCATACTGGCTATTTTCAACTTCTTATTAACATCTTCCCCAGAATTTTCCACATTCTGCAACTAAAATATACAAGATTTAAGATAGCAAATGAGTGTTTTAGCACTCATTGATAATTTAGCTCTTATGAGCAGTCATTTTGTCACTCTGCAATTGCTACAGGTGGATCCAAAACTTCTATATGGGGAAGGAAACCTATTATTGCTCTGAGTAAATCTATGGCACAGATGATACAAAAAAGTAAGATAAATAGCAAAAAAGTAAGATAAATAGCAAAAAAGTAAGATAAATAGCAGACTCATAGCTTTTTGGATGTTTAATGGTAGGCAATAAGCTGCTCATTCTCTAGCTAAATTCTGCACTGAAAATCTCCACAAATTCTAAGTTAGCACAAAAAGATGTGTAGTCACTGGCCCCTCATGGAGTTTGCAATGTAACTATATGGGACTGGAATGAGGTGGAGTTTGACCACAACTCTGCAAATTACAGGCTGAGCCAGAGGTGATGTTTAAGTTGCCAGATGCTTTTTGCTTATGTGTGTTCCATGTTGGCGACCCAGCTTTGGCTCTTGGTAGATGTAGGACCTTGTGATACAGTAGAAAGAAAGCAAAGCTAAGGGAAATGGGTTGCCTTCTGAAAGTCAAATCAAAATCATATGCACTGTTAAAAAACAATCTTTTCCTTTCTTGCATCGGCTTTGCAAATGAAAACCTGAATTTCAAGATTTTCAGCAGCAACTGGTCTTGCTGCAGGTACCAGAAACAACCACCATGATATTGAAAGGAAAACTAAAGGCAGAGTGAGAACCAGAATGCATCACCATCTTCCTCTCCTTCAGCCCCTGACTGCACAGCACCTCTGTGCCCTCCCCAACAGTCCTGTGGAAAAGGGCAGGGTCTCCTGGAGTCACAGGGCAGAGAAAGGCAAGGTGACCTAACCCAGACTGCCCACGCACCAATGCCAGAAACCCCTGTTCCCTCTAAGGGCTTACATCAGACTGAAGGCACACCTTTTAAAAAAGGTTAGAGAAGAAAGACAGCACAAAAAACAACATTGTCTCACCTATCAGCTGCCATTTTCCTCAAGTAATGTTCTTACAAACACATGGCTTGCATGCCCCCCAGGTTTTTGCTGTAATACTTTAGACCCGCTAGTGTTCACCTCACTGGACTTTGGAAAACACAACAGGGACCAGTTGGACTTTTCAAATTAAGAGTACAAAGCTGTATATCAAATTCCGTAAGTATAGAAAATTGTTTAAATTATAAATTCCAGCTCTCAAAACTGAAAAAAGTATCACATTCAGCTGCCTGAAACCTAGGAACTACAACATGTGCTTTTACACAAATTTTTACTTTCTCCAGGCTCTCTGCCTTAATTAAAAGTCAGCTATACAATATTGTTAAATATAAGTGGAAGAGAAAACATAAACTGGGAATTTTGTCCCTGTGAAGCATTTTCTTTTGCAACCCTAGTGAAATTCTTTGAATGAATAAGAAACCTGGGGGGAGGGAAATAGTGATATTTAATAGCAGGTAGGAAGGGCTTCAGCACTGTTTTTTTCTTATCAAAAGCTAAAGACTTTCTATGCCCCCATTAGCACAGTGTTTTAAAACCTTAAAGGTGTGGTGGGACATTAATTCAGCCCTGACTCAGAGGCAGGAACGAACCACTTTGAATCACAGGCATGACTCTGTGCAGCACCGTGCCATCTGCTCACTGTGCTGCAGCACAGACCCAGCTCCATCACCTCAGCACACTCAGGCTTTGAGTGAAAGCTGTTTAGCTCCAGACTCTGTTTTCTAGAAACTTTATGGGTTTCAGTCATGAACTGTAACACTGGACATTTTGGAACAGAATCATTTCCAGAGATCACCTCCTATTCTAGAGGCTGGGGAAGAGACCACATGAGTTAAGTGGAGCACACTATCAAGATGCTTCTTCAGCTAATATTTATTTTTACTACATGATTAACCAAAGGCTACAATGATAGCGAGCCTGTGTAAAGGTAGGCAATGCTGGAAACACTTTCTGGTGGCTCCAGTTGCCAAGGAAACAAAGTTCTCTTGTCTCTCTGCATCCAGAAATGTTAGCTCTCTGTGTGAACACAGCTCTCAGGAAATGGTGTGTTCTGTGCTCTTCAAAAGACCTGCAAGGGAGAGGAAGGGGCAAAAAAGAGATGAGAAAGTATATGCAATGCTACTCAAACAGCCTTTGCACACATATTTTACTCACAGCAGACTAAACATTCATCATAAGATTTGTGCTTGGCTTTTACTTGTCAATAACAGAAGTTTATGTTACATATTGGAAAAAATTACTGGTGCAGACCTCCAATGTGACCTTCAGAAATCAGCGCAATAAAGTGCTGAGCACTGGGATAGCTTCTGCCCCAAGGCATGTCCTCCTTCCACAGAAAAGTCCCTGGGTGGTGATGAGGAGGCCAGCCACCCTCGAAGTGCCAGTTGCAGGGAGGGACTGGGGCAGGCATTGGAAGGTTTCTGACTCTGGGGCTTTAAAAATGGAGTTGCACAGAGAAGAGCTAACTGGCAGTGAGGAGGTCAGTGCCTGGGATTAAGGAGTTCAGAAGATCCCAGCAGGAAACCATCTGCCTTGCTCTGCTGTCACCCTGCCTCCCCAGCAGCACTTCTGCCCACAGCTGGCCATGGCACGCTTGCCAGGTCCCTGGAGCAGAGGCAGAATTGTCAAAACAGGTCACCACTTTGCCATCTGCCCTGCATTTCATTTCATCAAGATCCTCAGCTGGAAGTTCTATAATCTCTCACTTTTCTGGAGCAGGCTACAGCTGTGAGTCCAGATAAACAAAATGATGCTTAAAGCAGGTAAATGTGAGCTACAGCACAACTTTTAAGACTTCTCTTAAAAAGAGAAAATTGCGGTATTCTTCAGATATCTATATGAGGATACAGATACCTGATCTACAGACCAGGTCATCTGATACAGATTATTTTAACAAAAAAAACCCACTTAACTAAACAAACAAACAAAAAAATCACACAAACCAATCAAACAAAAAGAAACAATGACAAAGCAAAACAATTATGTCTCTCTAATTATCATTTACAACTACTTCTCCTTTGGGCATTAACAGTTAACCATCTTTCACAGCAAGCTGACTTTCCAGGATGTGGAAGCACAGCTCTGCTGGTAAGTGGTGCCACTGTTCCAGTGTAACCCCATTCATTCCCCAGAATGGGAATCAGCTAAGACCACTTGAACTTCCCTCCCACTTTGGCTCTGAGACAGGAGATGATAATGACATTCAAAATTTTGTGGGAATCCATAAAAGTCACTTTAAGATTAGCCTGGTCGTTTCTTTTTAGGATGATCCCAGTGGATTGTGTGGGGTAAGTACTGACTTTTCCCCAAAGAGCTCAAGATCCTGCAGCATCTTCTCTTCATGTTTTTAACAAGAAAAGGCAGATGATTCATTTCCAGGAAGGGTAAGAACTCCCCTAATTATATGCCAATGATACCTAAATCTTAATCTTCTTTGCTTTGTACTTAGAACTGTTTGTTGACTTGTTCTAGTGCCTGGCAGAAGGGAGAGTGAAAAATTATGTAGCTGAAAGTAGAGAAAAGGGAATTTTTCATACAGCCCCTAAATCTTGCCCCTCCCACCTCCTCTACCTCCTGTTTTTGGAACCTTCATTCATACACAATTAATGGCTTAATGACATGTGTGATGAAGGATGGGTGAATTTAGCTCTCTGAATACGGGTTGTGACTGCACCAGCTGACTAAACCATTCCCTGCTGACTCTGGGACAGAGTGGCTGCT